AGCGCCGCGTAGTGAGAAAATCCTGTACTGTCAACCAACGAAAAAAATTTGATCTCCTGGAAAACTTTGCTGATGACAGTTTAGCAGGTCTCGAAATATATCTAATGCAAGAATTGCACATGTATACTTAAGCGCAATGAAGTGAAAAAAAATGAATTTCTGTCCACCAGCCAAAAGGCCTTGGCTTCCTGAACAACTTTTCCCAAGAGAGTAACATTCTATTTGGTCAGGATCTCGTGATATTTTATATGTGAAAATTTCTCGTGTATACTAGCGCCGCTTAGGAAATTCTGAACTTTTGTACACAAAGCAATAAGTTTTGACCTTCTAAACAGCTTTGTCGAAGACAGTATTTTTCTATGTGGTCAGGATCTCGAAACAAACCACATGCGAGAATTTCATGTGTATACTAGCGCTACGAAGTGAGAAAATTTACAACAATTATCCATTAGCGAAAAAATCATGACCTCTTGAACAACTTTGTCGACGACAGTAACTTTCTATCTGATCAGAATCTCGAGATATTTTACATGTGAGAATTTTGCGTGTATACTACCGCCACATAGTGTGAAAATTCTGAACTATTGTGCACCAAGCACAATAGCTTTTTCGAAGACAGTAATTTTCTACCTGTTCAGGATCTCAAACGAAGACTTCCCGAACAACTTTGCCAAAAACATTTACTCTTTCCCTCCCCATGGACATGGAGGTTGACGGTACTGAAGCAAAGGGTTATGTTTAATTTCTTTATATTTGAAACGATGATGATTTCCTATAGTGACACATATCACCTTCTTAATGCTTCAGTATGCCTCAAACGATTAATTCTTGGTTGCTAATAGAACTTCCTTGATGCAATCGGCTGCTTCATGCAGACTGAGCAATTCTGATTATAGTATCAGATTTGTTCTGTATACAGAGGAACTGGGAGGGCTTATTAGAAACTTCTCACCAATAAAGTTATGATCTTCTAGTAAATTTTGCATATAATTTTATTAATATTTTATTTTATTTAAACATATTATTTTTGTTACAGTCAATTGGCATTAGCATACAATACAAGAGTGCTTGTTGTTGCGTAAAATAATCAATATTTATTTTGTAATTACCTTTAATTTTTTTTTTTGTGATCTGAAAATTTTCCTAGTTTGGTTAGAAGTTTCGAAACTAACGCATGTCCACAGGCCTAATAGAAAGATAGGCAGAAAAAGTGTTTCATGAAGAATGGTTGCATGCAGGGTTGCTTCCACTCACTTGCTATAGATGAGTGATTTTCGGAGTTTTATTCGTTAGATGTTGTAATGGAGATTTGTGTTGTTGGATGCGGGAGGAGACTGAAGGGCGGGTGTTTGAGGCATAGAGCCTGTCAATTTCGCTTTCAGAGTGTCGCAGTCAGCGGTTTTATGATTCGTGAGCGCTCGTGATTCGTAGAACCGTTGATTGTGACTGCAAGTGGATTTGGCGGATTTTGTGAGTCGGACGCTTGTTTTTTGGCCTCTTCTTGTGTCTAACATGTGCAGAGTATCATTATAGGGTCTGATATATTTGTGAGAATATCTTTTTGAGATTTTAGTAGTCACGTTTTGTTTGTAGTTTATATTTTATTTCTTTCATGTAATTATCGTAAATAGTAGTTATTCAATAATAGATAGTTCATCCATATATTTGTACTTTGACGCGAAGCGCTGTGTATTATGAGATGCACGATGACCCTGGAGGGATCGTTTTTGCTTACTGACAGAAAATCATGGGCTTAATCCTAAGCTCTCCGTCATGACTCTTAAAATTCATGATCACTAAACAAAATGAATATGTTCTTTCGATAGCCGGCTTTCGAGAGATTAAATAAACAACAAATAAACAATACATACTTTTGGTTGCATCGCCAACTTGAGGTGAATCCTAACCGAATACCCTACCCAACCCTCCAACTCCATAGCACTTATGAGGGTGTCGCTAAGTCGGTGGCCTCTCGTTAAGTAAGTACTATATCAACATTTCCTTCCCTATCCCTAGTTATGGTAAAGATGGGCGTGGCCGGGAATAGCGACAGTCATGCTTCTGTTACTCTTGTTTAGACTGGATCCAATGTTTACTCCCCAGCATTATTCCTGAAAGTAGTCTAACTGAGAATTTCAGAAGAGACGTGAGTGTCGCTAGTATCCAATCTACGAAGTATATCATAACAACGCTAACGATAACGCTAACTTAGCCAAAAACATTTACTCTCTATCTGGTCAGGATCTAGTGATGTATCAAATGCGAGAACTCAACATGTATACGAGCACTACCTAGTGAGAAAATATTGAATTACTGTTCACCAGTGAAAAGTTTATTATCTCCTGAACAGCTTTGCCGAAGACAGTAACTTTCTATCTGGTCAGGATTTCAGCTATTGTATATACGAAAATTGCGCGTATAAACTAGCGCCACGTAGTGAAAATTTTCTGAACTACTCCACAAATGAAAAGAGTTGGAAAACTCTGAACTACTGTCCTCCAACGAGAAGGCCTTGACTTTCTGAACAACTTGGCCCAAGGCAGTAACTTTCTATCTGGTCCGAATCTCGAGATTTTCCATGTTGTAACCAATTAAGTCAAATCCCACGTAGTACGGACACCGTTTACGCGGTTTCCATTCACATTTTCTCTATTATCCACATTTTTTGGGGGTTAACTGTGATAAAAATTTAGCTTGTATAGTTAAAAACAAGTTTTTTAAGGAATACTCGTTGGTTTCATATCGATTGGTAGCTCGGCTGCAAAATGGCAATGGAAAACTCACACTGTAAACACTCACAAAGTACAACGCGCGAATTGCAAAAGTTGGTGCGAGTAACGGAGGGTTAATGTGGTGAATTCAATGATATTTTGACAATTTTTTGAGACATTTTGGCCTTATTTAGCAAATTTGGAATGTTCAATTGAATTTTAACGTTTTCTCAGCGATATTAGTGCTCTAAGACGATTTCGAAGCATGTTGAGGTAAGTTTGGTGATTGTTTTTTTTCCTTGATTTGTTTTCCATCGATCTTGTTTTTCGTGCTGAGCACCAATGCTACCGACGCCAGGAAGGTAGCTCCCACACACGACCCATCAACTCATGAACCGGGGACCAATGGCTTTACTTCCCTTCCGAAGTAAAGAACATCCCGGCGGCGCCGACTGGGATTGAACCCAGGCCTGCTGGGGTGAGAGGTAATCACGCTTACCACTACACCACTGGCGCCGGTAGGTGATTGTTTTAATATGATTTTAACTACCACCAGATTTAAAAATGACACACCACGAGACTATACTTAATTGATAAACTATTGTGTTCCCAGAAAATAAATATTGTTGAAAACAAATTTTAACTCAGCCCCACGAACCGGTAAGCGATAAATAACCGTTAAATAGAAGTTTGTGACTAATCTAAGGTCCCATTATTTCCCACTCCCACAAGTCAAAAATAACCCTAACTGTGAGGTTAATTTCACTGCCCACATGTTTTTGCCTCTACATTTAAGGTCTATAATTTATCACCATATCGTGACGCACCGTAGAAGCCCTAGCACAAACGTGAATCTACCTTCTGCCGGAAGCTCATACAACCAAGAATTGCTCATTTATCAGAGCAGCCAGTGCTTACGTCAAGGAAAAAAAAATAATCCACCTCGTTCACTTTGGAAATACAGTGGTCACCAAAAAGAGAGAACAACAACCAACCGATTTGCATGGATTTGGTTTCGAAATAAATGGAGATTAATTGGCACCATAAATAAAAATTATTTTCAGCGTAAGCTCCCTGGTTTTTCATTTCTCCCTCCATTCACGACTAGTGCCAGTGAAAGGTAGGTGCTTCACAACATGTCAACATTATCGTGGGCTCGTTTAGGACCGGAAAGGGTGTACAGTCTTGTGATGGTGGGAAGGAATAGCCAAAATTTGCAGCCGGCGATCGAAAGGAAACAAGTAGGTGGGAGGTTGAATTGTTAACAAGATGACCTTTTAGGCTGAAATTATCGTTTGTTGTTGGAAAAGTTATAACTTGATGTTGCGAGCCAGTATCCGCCGCTTACATAAATAATTTAATCGCCCTCGAAAATAGCCATTGGAAAACAGTGACTGAACGACAGGATTTGTAGCTCAACGGAAAAGTTGCGTTACCTTGTATCATACATATTTGATGCGAAAGAAACAATATTTCATGTTTTATCACAGCCATTTAATTTAAAAAAAAAACAGTTTAGTTAACAAAGTCCCCTGAATTCCAAAATTTCAAGCCCAATTAATAAACGTTCAGATGAAATAACCTAATCAAATAACGATCCCATCATCATCAACGTATTATCCTCTAACCTCCTTTTATTCCATTTTGAAACACAATTGAGTTAAGCCGATTTTGATGAAGTCATTCCTCCCACTCGCTCTCGATGAATTGATTACATGTAACACGTAAAGTGAGCAAAATACGATCCCTTCGCCGGTAATAGAAGATCCATTCCTTGCAATTTACCACCCACACCTTCTCGCTAGGATCAGTAACCGATTCACCGTGCTACTCAACGGGAAAAGTTTTCCCATCTAACATTACCACCAACCCACCCCACTTCCGTCGAACCAGTTAACCAGTGTGCTATTTATAGCGCCAAATCGATAGCACAGGCTTCTCTCCACACAGACCCGCCAGGCACAACGTTATAAAATACCGCTTAAATTTATAAATGACTTTCCTGAGCCATCATTAATATCAGCGTGCGTGCATACGCCCTCAGCCCTCCCACTCAATCCAAGCGAAAAAAAAAAGGATTCGGATTTATTTAAATCGGACGAATTTAATGAAAATATTCATGAAACAGATATCACTCAACGCCAACCACAATCTGGCCCATGAACCCTCGTAGACAAAAGGTGCGGAGGGAGAGAATTAATAAAGGAAAAGCCTCCTTAATCATTCCTTTGTGTTTCAGAAGAATGGATCTCGACCTTCAAAACATTGTTTGAATGGAGTATAAATTACCTAAATCTTCCTTTCGTTACATGATACCTTCCACGGATATGAGCAAAGCGTACCTGTAAATAAAAACGTTGAGGGTTTTAGTTACAAGGAGATTCAATTATTTTCCGATATCAAATATTTATAAGTTGAACTCTAGAACAATGATTGAAATTGGTGGAACAACCAAACGTAAACAATGGCTTTAAACGTAAATTTCTCGAGTATTCTCTAGAAATTTGTATTTAAAGCCATTATGTACGTTTGGTTGATCCGCCTATTTGAATTGGTGGTCTATAACTGACAGTTCGACGAAAAAATAACCAGCGAATAATGAACTGGGAAAGGGTGAATTATGTACCTGTTCAGAGAAGAATGAATATTGCCTGGGAAAACCCGACCGTTTTCAATCCAATTCCATGCTCTAAAGTGGTTTCTTGTAAAGTCGAAAAGTGGACTGTCACATAGAGTGCCATGTGCGCTGAAACACGAGGTAACCTAAATCTACTCGTATACAACATATAAGTGAGACCGGTTGGGTCGAATGATGAATGATGCTGTGTGTCTGGGTATCACCCCTTCACCCCACCCCACACTCCGTTAGATTGATGGAAACATGGAAATGCAATAGAGTTACAAGGTCGCGAAGACCAAAGAGACCCGGGTGGTTGACCGGCTTATTAGATCTAACATGACTTTTTATTGGCTTATGTTTCGGTGTATTAGACTGTTAAAATAATGATAATTTAAGAATTTGATCGAACTGGCGAGTGTATTGAGCTTGAGGACTAGCGAAATTCTATTCAATAATAGTGCGGCATACCATGCCGGATGCGGTGAGCTCGATTCCAAGGATGTCCGGGAGCAGAAACCCATAAACTGGAACTTGTGGCACTAAAATCTGTTCTGCCATCGCCGAGAAAAGTGAGTGAGTAACAAACATTTGGAATTGGATCTAAATCGACCAGCTGCTTTGATTTGAAAGTAACCGACTCCGACTCTTCGACTGCGACTTCTTTTCAACCAAAATTTAACATACATTTATGTGTATGATTTCAGTTTTTTTGAGTGAAGCTTTGTTCCAGTAATGTGTCCAGAGTTCTATGAGCTGCATTTTAGCAAAAATATTCCACGGAAAATGCTTTGAGATATATAGATTGATATTTTTCTACGATATTTATCATTGAAATGACAGCACGAACGTAGTAAAAAACTGAATATTACATTTCAGACTTGAGATTTATCATGCGGGGCTTAAACACTGTGTTAACTGTGCTGAATATAAAAGTGTCATTTTCTAGCTTCTTTGTGCAGAGTCTGCTTCCGTCCATCGTCGGTATCGTGCGTATATTTCTTTTCAGTTAAACGGTATTTTAGTTTAAAATGATTGTAGTGTGTCGAATTTGTTGTATTAAATGTAAAATCGTGGAGTTTTAAATAAAACACCTCAGGGTGCACAAGAATATTGGAATTTATGGAAATCCTATTAATAATTGTCGCGGCTTTGAAAAAGCATTTAAATCAACGCCGTATTTGAAAAAAAAAACAAATGCGGCGAAAACGACTGTGCGGTGTTAGGATACGACGTAAAATTTGATAATTTTAAGCTTATTACGTAACATACATTACGGCATATAGTTATAAATTATTTGTGGCAACCCTAAAGCAAATAAGGGAGGTCCGATGTAAAAATATTATACAATATAGGCCCAAGAATGCTACCCCGAGGAACTCCTGCTCTAACAGGTAGTATATCAGATTTTAAATTCTGTAGAGTTCTGCCAGTTAAATAATTTTGAACTAATTTCATAATATAGAGAGGAAAATTAAACCTTTTCAATTTAGCAATCAAACCTTCATGCCAAACACTGCCGAATGCTTTTTCTATGTCTAGAAGAGCAACTCCAGTTGAGTAGCCTTCAGATTTGTTTGAACGAATTAAATTTGTAACTCTTAAGAGTTGATGAGTAGTTGAATGCCCATGGCGGAATCCAAACTGCTCATCTGCAAACATTGAGTTCATATTGATGTGAAGCATCATTCTATTTAAAATTATCTTTTCAAAAAGTTTACTTATTGAAGAAGGCAAACTTATTGGACGGTAGCTAGAAGCTTCAGCTGGATTTTTATACGGCTTCATATTTTTCCCTTTATCAGTAAAGTATGCCAAATGAAAACATCTGTTAAATACTTTATCTATTTATGTTTGTATTACTTCTGCGTGAAGTTAACGATTCAAATAGTCGAAGATGAGGTGAAAGTACTACCAGTATCTCCTCGAGATCGTCAAGTCGACAATGACAGGAGCACATACAGTGATAGAGGTAACAATAGCTGCAATTTCTAGCCTCCCTTCAGATAACGACTTGAGTGCGGTACAATCGATAGAACTGTTTCAAACACATCTTCGGTACATGAGCAAATCGGTGATCATCTCTTTTTGCTAGTTGTGGTGGGGGGGGGAGATACCCCTCACCATCCTTCTCTAACTGGGGAGTTTGGTAAAGAGAGATGATCAACCCGATTCGTACCTTCCTTAATGTTGTCCTTGCTCACTTGCTACAATTTTCACACTGCCGTACTTTAACGGAACTATCAACTCTTTACTTTAATCTCCTCATCACGTGTTTAAAAATTACTACTGTCTGTTTTTTGAAATTAGCATCTTCAACTATTTGTCAAATAATTTTACCAAGAAAGACTAGGTACTCTCTGGGAGATGCACGCATGTTTTTCTACATTCATCGAGTATTATCAAAGTAACCTCAAAACAAACAAAAAATGATGTTCGGTCATAAGCAGTCTTGTAAGCGGTCACGGTAGTCGAAACATTTTCTGTGATAATCGACTGTCTTTGCCTCCGACACTTACAAAACAACCTATCATAGTACAGTACCAAACTCAAATGTCATTTAACATGCTCTGTCATACAACACTGTCGGCGAATACCGTCACGAATGTATGTATTTTAGTTTTTCTCATAATAAGAGCTGCTGATGTTGTGCTTGTGTGAATTCTGAAAATAGCAAGCAATGATGTCCTAGGAATAACGTTTCTGATCATAAATGGTTTAATTTACACCAAATTGAGGAATTGGCGTCGACGGCGACTCTGTAAAATCCATAAGCAAACGTCAGACTGTGCGTGAAACATGGCGGACTTTGTACTATCCTTTCACTCCACCGAAAGTTCCCATAAGAAACTGACGATATTTACTCGAAGAGCAAATTTTTCGACGATTCCGTCAACGCCAATAAGAACCAAATCCCTCATGTCATATGATAGTTATTTGATAATTTTCTTTTTGCTCGAATGTTATTCTACCGCTCGTTTTGCGTGAGAGAGACGACGGTAGAGCATGAGTGTTCGAATACAAACAGAATGTCGCGCATGACAAAGAAGCGAGTGTCGTAAAAAAACGTCAACTGTTGCAACCCCTTGGTCATAAGACAAAAAAATAGTGCAAATGTTATAATTTTCAATAAAAATATTACTAAAGAATTTACTCTAGGATTCACACTACTCGTTTAAAAAACAATAAAAACATGAATTTTTGTAAAACAAATTCAAAAACCTATCAAGGTTTACTAAGCCTGTCACATTTATTGGTATATTTTTTTCTCCATGTTTAATTGACTGCTATTGGATTCATTTACTCCATCCTTTTCGATGATAAAAGTCTCAAAACTTCATCCAGTCATAAGCCACTGCCAGCCCCCACGATAGCAACTGGCAATGATTGACGATTTGTTTGATTAACACCCACCGATCCCAGTTCACTCAGCCGGACCAACGTCATGCTGTTGGACAATGCTGTCTCTTTCTATGCACCAATACCCCGCCCGTTAGCCTGTTGGAAAAGATTAAAAAAAACCTGTGGGACAGTTCCGAAATCCGAGAGTTCTGCTGCGACATAGCCAAAAATGACGAATGGAAGAAAATATCGCCGGCTTGCACGTTTTCTCACGCGGAAAATCGTGTTTAACCAACTTGCCTCATTTTCCCCCTCGACTCGCTTACGGGGTGCTGGATTGGTGTTTTTCTTTCACGAAGATAAATTTTATGGCTTGTTGATTTAATTTTATATTTTTTATGCTTGTCGTTCCAATTACCCCGCGATGGCGATGGTGGACTGTGTGGGATTATTTAGATACTCTTACAGTCAGATGCTGGCTGCTACTGTATGTAAAATTTTGGAAAAGAAAAACCTAATGACAATTGCCTCGGTCAAGATTTTTTTTTGCGTTTTGCGTCGATGAAAGCATGTTTGAAACCGGAGACATGACTAGTGTAAATCGTGACCATGGAGAGAAAGAAGAGATGGATTTGTATTTATAAGATAAACGTTCCCACTTGGGTAAACCAAAGTAAAAATTGTTACATTTCGTCCTCTGCTGCTGGCTGCCGTGAACCACAAGCAAATGTTTATCATGCCACGGATCTGGGGGTGTTGATTCCGAATGTCATGGATGGGGGTGTTCAATTTTCTTGGGTGAGAGAGAGTTCAGCTTGTGTGCATTCATCCATTTCATCCAACCCTAGGGTGGCACGGCGGTGGTCGATTAAACGGACGATTTGTTTATAGTGCAATGAATCTCCTCCGCAGTGTGGTCGTTCTTTTGGACAAGATATTGTCTGTTTGTAGCGAGCTCCAAGTGAATCACTGCTGGGTGCTGTAGTTTGTTTATTGTACGACGAGGACACCTTCCAACATCCTTGCGAAACGTCTGCGTTGCCCCGTCAGTGACTGTGAATGGCGTTAGTGAACCAAATTAAGACCGTGAAATCAGATGGATGGAGACCAGATGTCGTCGTTTTATATGTGAGGTTAAGAAGATATACTTTTATGCGGACACGCCACAGTGAATCAATCGGTCAATTTCAAAAGTTTCACAACACGCCCAACACTACGTCAACGATCTCATTACGGTGCTATGATGACGAGACTATAAAATATAAAATTCAAGTTAGGTTTATGTTTTCACCACCGATCTTGAATGCGTACAGTGTGTCCATGGCCAGGTCATTCTGGGACAGTGAATAAAGAGCCGGTGTAGTAGTTAGCATCTATGCCGCT